TATTCAATCTCGATATATTTCATCCTGTTGCGGATTAAGTTTTATGAGTACCTAAGAAATTATGAAACCGTACAAATGTCATGTGATGTTGCGTTCAGTCTGTGTCTCCCATCTTACCCAAGTTTTTGACCTGTCCTTTATAGGAGGAAGTTGATGCTGGAGCCATCATTTTTCAAGAACCAGTTCCAGTGAAGGCTGGAGACACAGAGGAGACGTTGTCAGAAAGAGTGAAACAGGCAGAGCATCGAGCCTTCCCTGCTGCTATGCAGCTGGTGGCCAGTGGAGCCGTGAAATTAGGAGGAAATGGAAAGCTCGTCTGGGACGTGACAAAGCATTAAATGAAATGCCAGTGTCAAGAAGACAAAAACAACTATGAATGTAATCTGCAACAAGAAGCATCTGCAACGTTACTTCAGAGCTCTGTTTTTGCATCATAACATAGAGCAGCAAGTTTTCAATATACTGTATCTTGCTTACATCACATGAAACAATTGAATTGCGAAGGGGGCAAATTTGCTCTGTACAAATGGGGCTTGATTGGGAACAGCAAGTCATTTGTGTGATCCAGTCAACATCACCCACACCATCACGACAGTTCCTATGTTGTATTAAAATGTCTGAAACTTTCACAGTGCCCCAAAAGCTTACCAACGTATTATTGCAGTATATGTGATGTGATTCTGAGACCTGCCACACAGCCATATAATCCAGAATATCAAGGCAGAAAATCCCACAATATCTGCTTTGAACTGGGTTATCTGAGTCTACGCTACTATATATTCCAGTTCAAAGCAGAAAATGTGGAATTTTATTCAGCTGTGTGGAAGGAGCCTCTGTTTCATAGTTTCTGGCCTCATGGTGTTTTAAATCAGGTCTAATACTCTGTGCCCTCACAAAGAAGCTGCATGGCTAGGAAAGTGATGACAGATTAAAAGCATTAGTGTAATTAAGCCTTTTAATAGCATATCACAGCAATCTTTTTCTTTCTAAATACCGAAGTAATTTAGAATCCAATCCAGTGTTCTTAAGCTAAGTCCCTATCAAATGCCTGAAAGAAATACACAGCCGTATCATTGAACACCAGAGCTGTGCTTAGATAATCACTACATGAGATATTGATCTCCCTCTTTTCTCAATATGATACTGTGAAACAGAGTTGATTAAAACCTAGCTCATTATATCACACAAACATATGAAACCATTCTTTGGGGTGCTTTATCGTGTCTAGGAAACACATTGGGAACAGCCTGAAATTCACCTGATTAAAAGCACAAAAGCATTTCATAATTTTCCACTAAAGGGAAGGCACATGCTATTGCCACTGCACTGCACTACCTCCATAAATAATCAGGCCAATAACAAGGCCAAGGAGTTGGACTGGAACCACATTACTGTTTCATTCCTGTTATCTATTCTAAACTGAAATGAGCTGTGATTTCTGATTGCATTCTAATAAAATATCATTAATTCAAAGATCTACATTTTTCAGAAAATGAATTCCTCTGCAATAATTTAAAAATTATCTTACTAGTGACTTACACAGGCATTAAGTCCAACTTATGTCTGCTTAAGTCTTTTCTTTGGGCATTGCAGAGGTCAGAATTATCTACAGAACTTACACATAAACCCACCTTTAAGCTCCTGAAGACCATTTACTGGCCAGTGAAAGGAGTGGGTGATGGAAAAGCTTGTATCTTTGTTCCTATAGCTGGGTGCATTCACTGACATTATCCTTTGGGATTTCCAAAGGACCCTAGAGAGGTCACAGAAGGCATGGGAAAACTTTGGCCCTCTGCGTGTTTTGGACTTCAACTCCCACAATTCTTAACAGCTGGTAGGCTGTTAGGAATTGTGGGAGTTGAAGTCCAAAACACCCGGAGGGCCAATGTTTGCCCATGCCTGATCTATAGGAACAATGCCGGATTCTTGCCCACTGTCCCTGCTCTCTGTCATCTACTAAATGTGGGGGCAGCAGGTAGAAGGTGGGTTTTGTGGAGGGGTAACCAGAGACATGGCTTTAAATTTGTGGCAAAACTTTGTGCTATGTCTCCCTGATGCAGGATGTTTACTAAGATCCTTGTTCTTACATTACATAAAGATGGCTTGAAGTATTTGACTATTTCTTGGAGAAACAATGCGTTCAGAGAGTCTACTGTTGGAGGCTGCCCGCTGTTTACTACATCATTTGATACGACATGTATTTTGGAAAGGCATGACCTTATTAGAGATCATAACCTTTTGGAAAACTACTCGTCACCTCTGGTCACATAACCTTTTGAAAAATTGCATTCATTACCATTTGGGAAAACTAGGAATTTCCTAAGAAAATTTAAAAATTCACTTGAGTCAACCTTCTCCTAAGTGATAAATATCCACCAGCATTCATGTAAGGAATTGCGCTTCACAGCTGTTAAACAAATATATCTATATATCCTTTGAACTGTTAGGGACAAAGATATGCCAATGCACAAAAACAAGAATATAGCAGAGTTTCAGGAGTGTTCTCTTCAGTTGACCAAAGATCATCTGCTCTCCCTTAAAACATTTTGGTTTAAATCATGCTCTCAAGAGACCAAAAATAAAGTAGACATAGTTGGTTTACTCACAAACTTCATGTATTCAGCATACAGGTACTTTGCTTATCAATCCAGTTACAGATAAGATTCGAAGTAATATCCCTGTGCAGGTAACACAAGGCATCTTACTCATAATCTAACAGTCCAAAGCATTTTTTCTGGTCTGAGAATCTAATGGAGTCTCTTATCTAAAGCATTATGTTTCTATACTTCTAAGCTGTACTGTACTGCTTCTCATGCAAACACACTGACTTCTAAAATAGAGTCTGAGATAAATATCCCCAGAACTGGTCACATGGTCTGCAGCCCCTCCCACAACAAAAGGTTAAGGAAAATTGCATACCAATGCGCACATATACACTACAGTAAAAATCTGAATTGTATACATAACAAATAACTAGTATAGGAGGCTTGAAGAAGGTGGCTATTTCCAACAGTTTACTATATAAGCAACTGAAAATGTGCCAGTATCTCTATCCCACTTCAGAATAAAATGGTACAATTATGAACAGCTGCCAAATCATTTGGAAGACTCCCTTGTAATTAACAGATCAATAAACTCTGATATACACTTGAAATCCAATGAGGCACAATTTAATTAATTAAAGACACTAGATAACAGGTTGCAAAATTCAAATATGAAGGTGTTCCTAAGTCACTCAGTTGCCTAGCATCTATCCACATACCTTCTGTGAAAGTAGATCCATTGATGTAGAAGGACAATATATAGGCAGTCCCCAGTTACAAATGTCTGACTTACTAACAACTCATAATTAAGAACAGGAGTGAGACAATAGGAAGTGAAAAAATCTGTTCCTAGGAAGGGACATTCACTCCTGGAAGAGTTATCATGGAGAAAAGTTGTCTCCACTGAAGCTTTCTCATCAGTCCTTTTTTCCACAACAAGCCTTTTTTTTTTTCAAAATCCCATTATCATAGGGACAGAAAGTGAAGTCCAATCTTCTGATCATTGGCACAGACAGCAAAACAAACACCACAGGGGCGTTCACTACATTACCCAAAGCTGGAGTTACATTTAAAAAATGTATCAGTTCTAACTAACTTACTTACAAACAAATATAACTTAAGAACAAACCTACAGAACCTATCTTGTCCATAACTGGAGGTCTGCTTGTACTCTGCTATGCAGGACTACTGTGACATTGCAGCAAATTTGCCAGCCTGCCCACATCCTGAGTAAACACATCCCCATTTTTAGACTAAACTATTTTATCCATGGTCTGAAGGCATATTCTCGAAGTATGAATGAGAAGAAGGTCAACAGCCGGGGTCTGGACAGATCTGAATGAGGGGATATTATTGTAAATATAATAATAGTAATATAATAATAATAATAATAATAATAATAATAATAATAATAATAAATTTATTACTCGCCTCTCCATGTGTAGGCCTGCCGGAAGAGATGGGTCCTCAATTGTGTCTTGAAGAAAAGAATTATGTCTGATAGAAAAGAAGCTAGAGTTTGGTATCTACAGCTTGTAGTGAGAAGGCTGCTTGAAGGGAGACCTTTAAAATCATATTTGCAGCAGACAAACCTTTTTCATATGCAATACATTATTTCACACAAATTAAGCGCTACAGAGGATATGGACTATCCCTAGCCACAGAATTTATTCTCAACCACAACATGAGTAGGAAAATGAAGATTTAGACAATAAATGTGTCATCCTTCTATCCTTTATCATGTAGCTTGTGCTGCTAAAAGACTGAGTGCCTATACTACACAAGTTTCCTGATGCCAGGATAAAAAAGAGGGAGCCTGGTGAAGAGAAGGTGTGACATCCAACAACATCCGCACAACATGGATAAAATGTAGTTTGTGTCTGAAAACTCTGCAACAAAAGTTTCCTCTGTCTGAATCCAAGAGATCATCAGTAATTAAAACATAATTGTTTTAATTATGTACAGCTTTAACACAGAAGGTTAACCACCAGCTGCGGTAATAAATCTGGCCAATCAAAAGCTTGACAGTTTGAAGCCTGGATCAGGGTGAGCTCCTGACTTTCTGCCCAGCTTCTGCCTACCTAACAGATCGAAAACAGCAGTGGTGAGTAGATAAATAGATACCATTTTAAGTGGGGTGGTATCTAAAGGCACCCACAGGGAAATGCCAGAAAAATGCCAGCAATCCGATCAAGTAGGAAGTTTACCAACAAAAGTTCTTTGGTAGGGAAGATGGAGCGACAGCACCCTCCTGTGGCCGGGACCAAGTGCAGTCTGCAAGATGATGAAGATGTAAAAGCCTATAAACATCTATGTACAGTTGTCTATCTTGTCATTGTCTAACAGCATTGAATGTCTGCTGTATATGTCTTCTGTGATCCGCTCTGAGTCCCCTACGGGGTGAGAAGGCCAGAATATAAATACTGTAAATAATAAATAAATAAATAAATAAATAAAGGCATATAGATTCAAGATTACAGTGTTCCTGAAGCCCAATTTTATCATAGCAAAGGAAACAATGGCAGGTGGGAAGCCACTGCCTTCTGGTAAAAAAAAAGAAAAAAAGAAAAGACAGAGATCACATTCAGGAATGAAGAAACTTAGCTTTTGCTACAGTCAAGAGTACTTTCAATAGCTGTAATTAACCATCAAAGATGATTTTAGGAGTAGAAATAGTCCTGCTTTTCCTTTTGACGGATCATTTTATGACTTTCTTGGTTCCAGATTTTACTGTCCATTGCTAACTGCACCATTCCACTTGCAACCAGCTCCAAAGCAATTGGAAATGCTCTGCTTTCCGCTTCTCTTATCTTTTCCACCAAAGTTTCCTCCGTGTCTTCTGCTTTCACTGAGGTAGGCTCTTGTAAAATCATTGCTTCAAGGTTAGTATTCTCCTGAAGGAGACAAAGAAAGTATGACAGGTTGAAAATCAATCAAGAAAAACTGTCCTTTTTCACACTATAGAATTAGAGCACTTTGGTACTGCTTTTCATGCCATGGCTCCACAAACAGGCTTCCAGCCACAACAACCATGGGTTAGGAGGTGGAGGAATCAGAAAATGGTTTCTTCGCACGAGCATTATGATGTCACCCATATCCCACAGACTCCCACCTGCATAAAAGTATCTGCCCAGGTCCAACATGTTTTCTACTTACAAAATCCATTATTTTAAGCAACATTGAATACATTTATGCTGTCTCTGACCAGAATAATAATTACCTGTTGTTATATGTAACATCAGGAAATGTATTTTTTTTTTTAAAAAATAGAAGGGAAATACTTACAAGTACAAAATGCACTGTACAGCCAGCAGTTTTGTCTGTGGATGAGCTTGCCAGCTTGTGAGCCTTCTCTCCTTTGGTTAAATGTGAAAGTGTTGGGTAAGTGCCCAAGATTTTTCCTATTGAGGATGATCAAAGAACACAGAGAAACAAATGATGGAAGATTACTATGTGAAAACCACTATTTTGGGTAGTCTGAATCCAACTTGTAAATTCATTTAGTCCTTGCTAGCCTTTAGAAGGCATTGCCCCCTAGATGTTGAATGTTCAGCAGCCATAACCCTTCTGAGCGGGAATGGTGGAGGAATTCATGACTTTCAAAGCAAACTCACTTTCAAGACTAACATGGAGACCACAATGTACTTCTGCTTGAGAAGGATTAAATATTAGGACTAAAATTCCTGCTTGGGAAAAGTTATTTATTTGAACTAAAATTTGCTAGCATCTTGTTCCTGCTCTATTTCTGCTTAAGAAATCTAATTCCAGTGAGATGCCTATCACGAAATGCTATAAAATCATTATAATAGTTGATTCAGCCTGCCTATGCCTCGGTCTTGTCACAAGATGTCATGGCTCTCCCAATGTTGTGCACTAGAGTTGTTGGGAATTTAATTTTTTCGTGCTTTAAATAACCCTTTAATTGCTCCTTTCATGCTACAATTCAGTAATCAGTTTGTGGGAAAATGTTCAATCCTATTTCATTGTGAAAATGTCAAGTTTTTAACTTTGTTTGTGTTTTTTGTATGCATTATAACTGTATTCTCAATTCACTTCTGACATAGTAAATAAATAAACTGTAAGAATCACTCGATTTTGGATATTTATTTATTTACCTTATTTACCTTACTTATATACCGCTGTTCTCAGCCCGAAGGCGACTCACAGCGGTTCACAACAAATACGAACAGCAAAAATTCAGTGCTACAGTATAAAAACAGTTAACAACCTAACACATTACACAATTAATAAACAGTTACTACAATACCCATTCACTGTCGTCTCGTCATCAAAAACATGTTCCAGATTCGTCATCCATTGTTCCATTCCAGTGTTAATTAACCAATCATTGCACTAATTATTCGAACGCCTGCTCAAACAGCCAGGTCTTCACTTTTTTGCAGAATACCATTAGAGATGGTGCTAATCTAATGTCGGTAGGAAGGGCGTTCCACAGCCGAGGGGCCACCACTGAGAAGGCCCTATCTCTAGTCCCCGCCAGCCGTGCTTGAGAAGCAGGCGGGATCGAGAGCAGGGCCTCCCCGGAAGATCTCAAAGTCCTGGTGGGTTCATAGGCAGAGATGCGGTCGGATAGGTAGCTTGGGCTGGAACCGTTTAGGGCTTTAAAGGCCAACGCCAGCACTTTGAATTGAGCCAGGTAGCAGATCCAGGATATGGTGCCTGGATGTCCTTTCTTGGGGATTCCCAAAGAAATCACTGGCAGAAATGCTGCAGACTACTTCCACTGCACGGTCAGGAAGGACAAGATTTCCCAAGGAAATAGTTTTCTATCCTCTACAATCTGTTTTATATCGTTCACAATCTTGAAAACATTTTTAGATTGTTTGTATGCCATTGGCCCGTTAACCCTTGAAGGGCACAATTCAGAAACCTTTACTGTACAGAGTTGAAGTATAGTAACCATGAGCCACAATGTTACTACTAATGTTACTTTTTAAAAGATTAATAATTACAGGTTCAGCATCCCTTTTCCAGAAAGCTGAAATCCAAAATTGTACATGTGCATGGTTGAGATAGTGACACCTTTGCATTCTGATGGTTCAATACAGATTTCTTTTATGTACAACATGATTTAAAATAGTGTGTATAAAATTACCTGTGTGCCATGTGTACAAAATGAAGCATCAACAAATGTTATGTTTATATTTGGGTGTCATCTCCGATATCTCATGATGTATATGGAAATATTCAGAAATCCCTACCCCCACTGGTTCCAAGTATTTCAGATAAGGGACCTATATTTATATTTAAAGTTTTTCTTAAAGGCAGCAGTATAATAGTACTGCGACATTATGACATGATTGAATTATAACAACTTACTGTATATACTCGAGTATAAGCCTAGTTTATTAGCCTCTTTTTTTAGCTGAAAAAGTTCCCCTTGGTTTATACTTGAGTCAAAGTTCCTTATTATTTTACTCTGTTATTGGTGTTATTTTTATTACATGTATTATTTTACTCTGTTATTGGTATTTTTACATTTACATTATTTTACTCTATTATTTTTATTACAGTTATTATTTTACTGTATTTCTCATTATTATTACATTTATTATTTTACTTTATTATTACATTTATTATTTTACTCTACTTATTATTGTTGTTATTACATTTATTATTTTACTCTATTATTATTGGAAGGATACGTAAGCACCTTTACATTGAAGGAGGTTAGAATAATGGTTCAAAGTTGGTCAGTATTACTTTAAATTACAGTTTTAGGTAAACATTGAAAAACATTTAACCCACTGTTGCCTCAATTAATGTAACTTTATTGGTATCTATTTTTATTCCGAAATTTACCAGTAGCTGCTGCATTTCCTACCCTCGGCTTAGACTCAAGTCAATAAGTTTTCCCAGTTTTTTGTGGTAAAATTAGGTGCCTCGGCTTATATTTGGGTCATCTTATACTTGAGTATATATGGTAATTGTTTTTAAAGGAAACCAAGCATGACACAGGAGGCAGGGCAAACCGGCTGCATGGATGATATTGCCATATTGAGGAATTTACAGTATAGAAAAAAAACATTGGATGTTATGCTAATAAAATACAAATGTGGTGAAGGTGCAAAAGCAGTGAAGGTACACTGCTTTCCAATATATTATTTAGTGTTTAATTCAGCTGCTTTCACAAGTATGGGTGAAATGGTTTTGAATGTGACAACCTCAAACAACTGACTATTGCAATAAGCATCTCAATTGCAGGAGGTGCCCCAAAGAATGCCTACAATTTGTATAATAACGCTTTATTTATATTCCACTCTTCTCCCTGAGGGGACTCAGAGTGGATTACAGCATATATAAACCGACACAGGCAAACATTCAATGCTGTGTTACAATAAAATACAATGACACACAACTACACAATTTGGCTTCTGGAGGTGGCACTCCCCAGCTCTGAGGGAGATGCTCATTTTCATTTCCATGCCAAGGAGCCTGCATTGTCCATAGACACCTCCTGGTTGTGTGGCTGACATAACTGCATGGAGCGCCTTTTGCCTTTCACGTTGAGGCAGTACCTATTAACCAGGCATGCAGCATGTAGCTTCAGCCCCCCCCCCCCCCGAATCAAACTCAGCTCCCCCCGAAACAAAATCCTGGCTACGGGCCTGCTATTAACCTACTCACATTTGCATGTTTTTGAACTGAATTGTACTCCTACATTTCAATATTCTACTGTAGAATCTAAGAAATATAAGAAGGATGCCAACGTATGCAAAGAAGGGATCTGCAAATACTCTGGGAGTTACAGGGCATGATGTCCTTTGAGTGCCAAGAGGGAGATTTTATGGGAGAAGAAATAGCTGTTTCCATAGCCATCTTTTTGCCACACAATATCCCTGCCACTAATGCTCTATTATCTCGTTCTGTCAATCCCAGGAAGCATTTGCAGTCCCATTTTTACTATGTGCAGAATACCCATATTCTTTACAGTTGCTCCAAGCAGGAAAGAAAATATAAAATGAGCCGTTACAAACTGAAAGTGTATTTTACAATTCTTTCTTTTCAATCCACACAAAACCATCTCCAGAACGAATGTGCAAATGGCACAAACTGAAGCAGCAATCCCAGATTTCTGACACGTATGACAACAGTCTTTTGTCCTGGTTGCTTACCTTTCCATTTTCTAAGGAAGTCGCTACTCAAAACTCTTGTAAATCTAGCAAGACAAATCAGTTCGACTGAAAATTCTTCAAGAACTCTATCAATGGTGCCATCATATTCTGCTCGGCTTCCATACAGTTTGTGATCAATTACCTACAAAAGGCAAGGTGAATGATGGAATTTACACACTACTGTTTCTTTCTCTCTCCCTCTTTTGTGTAAGAATGGTGTGTATGAGAAAAGCAGGAAGAGAGAGACTGAGAGAGAGAGAAGTGTGTCTAACTATTCTGCCTTCATGTGCAACACTGACTACAAAGAAGGTACTACCAGAGAGTTTCTGTTACACAATTACAAAATTTAGAGAACACTTTCCACTGCCATGGCTCCATTATACAGAATCCTGGGATTTGCAGTTTTGGAGAGCACTTAGAACTGTCTATTGGGAGCCCTCCACTCACATGACAGTTAAAGGTAGGATCAAACTGCTATGTATCTATAACTCGTTTTTCTTATATAGGCGATACCTTACTCCACAACAGAGAAATGAAAAGCATCCAAAACACAATCAACTAAAGTTAATGCTTCCATGAACAGCTCCATTAAATTGCTTCATTAATAAATTATTGTTAATGGATATCTGGTCTGCCTTTCTGCTTCTGGAATATCCGAGGCAAATAATATAACTCTCTATATAGCTTATAGAGAATGAGAATGAGCTCAGAGGAAAATAATTTTAAAAAATACCCAGCTTGCCAAAAGCTTGCTTAGGCAAAACCATTTTCAGCTGCCAGTGAATCTCCAGGGCATGAGATCCATCATCCTGCATTTTCACTAAGAGACACTTTAGGGAGTCCACCCATTGCCAAACTGCCATGTGATCTAATTAACTGACATCACAGTTTCATGTTTAATTAAAATCTGATCCTGTGGCCAGTAAACGCAAGAAAAATATTTTAGTCATAGATATTTTCCATCATATAAAAATGTGGAAAGTACTTTTAGTAAGTGAAATTAACAGAACAGAATTTCACTTACTCTGGTAGGGATGCCAGCCAGGGTTGCATTCTTCAGTTCATCCACCCCAGACCTGTCAGCAATTACAAGGACTATCTGTGCGCTGCTTGATGGCTCTTTTGCATATGAGAGAAGTGCTGTAAGGCTTGTACCTCAAATTAGATGAAGAAACATAGCCAAACAATCAATCAATCTCCATTACACACTGGGAGCATTTATTTATTTATTTATTTCAAACATTTGTACCCTGTCCTTCTCAACCCCCGAGGGGGGACTCAGGGCGGCTTACAAAAATTCGATGCCGCAACATACAGAAACAAAAATATAACAAGACAATTACACAATTAATAAAAAATATTAGGTTAAAGTCAATTTAAAACATTATTATCAACCCTATAGCCATTTCCAACTCCAATTCTGCATCCAAAGATCCAAATTCAAAGCATGTCATAGTCAATTCTCATAACATTACAAGTGTTGTTATGCCTGTTGTCCAAATGTCTAGTCCCAGAGCCATGATTTAAGCTTCTTCCTAAAAAAAGGAGGGATGGAGCAGACCTAATTTCACTGGGGAGCGAGTTCCACAGGTGGGGGGCCACCACCAAGAAGGCTCTGTCCCTTGTCCCCACCAAACATGTTTGCAAGGATGGTAGGATCAAGAGCAGGGCCTCCCTGGATGATCTTAGACTCAGAGGCAGGACGTAGAGGGAGATATTTTCGGACAGGTAAGATGGGCCAGAATCGTATAGGGCTTTATAGGCCAGGACTAGCACTTTGAATTGTGCTCAGAAGTGGACCGGCAGCATGTATACAGTTGTACAGAAAAGGACACTCAAAATATCCTTGAGCATCAAGTCATTCATGTATAATAATTCCTATAAGCAACCAAGCAAACAAATAATTTGCTTCTGTGGAAGCTTTCATATCTATGAATGAATTCACCCTATGTTTTAATTTGAAGTTTACAGGAGCCAATCAGAATGCTGAACTTTCATATAAATGCCTCTCAGTTTGTGTTACGAAATCTCTGCATCTCTTGGCACCCCTATCAAGAACTCTTGTCTCCTTGAGGCAAGTGTGAATGTTGTAATTGTGAATATTAATCAAGGTGGCCAATTGCAACATTCACATTTGCCTCAAGCAGACAAGAGTTCTTTCTTCCACCCTGGACAGATATACAAACCTCACTTGTCTAGTTTCCAACAGACTTCACAACCTCTGTGGATGCCTGCCATAGATGTGGGCAAAATGTCACGAGAGAATGTTTCTGAAACATGGCCATGCAGCCCGGAAAACTCACAGAAACCAAGTGATTCCAGCCATGAAAGCCTTGGACAATGCATACTTGATTACCTTTCCTTCTTTGGAAGTTCTGAGGTGTGGGGACACTCCACAGCCATGCAATTTAAACATTGCTCAGTTTGCCAATAAGAATGGTCTACTTTTGAAGGGAATGTGAACAGGATGTAATCCAATATTTTGTAATTCCACTGAATCTTAAATCTGATCAATAGCAAAAAGATTGTCTGCACATATGCCCAAATTCTTTCCATTGCTATTCCGTGAAAAGGAATATCTCAAATTAGAGGCATCTCTGAATGACAGCAAAATGAAGGTGTGACTCATCTGGCTCACCACAAGGCAGAATCAGTAATCTCACAAACAGCAAAAGAAAACTGAAGTAATGTTGCATGCTCACCTGTTCCAGAAATAAGAACAGCTACTTTAACTTTGCTTTTTCTATGCATGTTCTGGAACTGCCCCTCTACAGCAGAAATACTCATAGGATAGTGGTGTTTACTTTGCAGCAACACTTCAAACAGGTTTCTGATTTCTACTTGAGGATACCCTGAAGAAGGGGAAAATGGAAAATGATCTGAGTGCATATGTATAGCTGGGGAAAAAAGTAGAAGTCTGTAACACTGAGAAAAAGAAAAAAAATGTGTTGGCATGGAACTCAAAAGATGTTTTGAAAACTTCAAAGACGAGGGAGATTGCTGAAGTTGGAAAGGAGATAGATAAACACCTGCATGGTTCAAAGAAACTCCAGGATTACACCTGCATAACAGAGGTTCTCTGTGGCTGATCTACAATCCACTAGATATGGTCTCCATCTCCCTTCACTGCTGTTTCAACTTCTCTTCTTATTATTTCCCAGTGAACATTAATACCCACCAGAGTGATGTCTGGCAATAGGTCAATTTACAACATGTTTCCTCAGAAGCAAAGGAGGATTTTTTATATGCAATACATAGTTATGTTTGTTCAGAGATTCCCATCCATGGCATAAAATAGAGCAGCTAAAAATACATATCTGAGGAAACTGTATGCAAAACTATCAGCTTACCTGTTTTCTAAATCTAAATACAATATAAACCCCATTATTGTGGGGGGTATGTTGCTAGTTTTCACATGGATATGAAAACTGTGGATAATTACAAACCTTAATGAAATAAAGGAATTCTGCCTAAGAATGCCATAGAGCTGTGTTGCAGGACCTAGAAAATGCCTAGAAACAGGCCGGGGGGGGGGGGGGGGGCTTGAGGGGCTTCAGCCCCCCCCCCGAAATTCTCAGGGTGGTCCGCGAGAAGGCCTTACTGGTGCATTATTTAAACTGTTATGTTTATTCATATCATGATCTGATCACCGTGCCTAATATATATTATATGCATGGGGGAATTCGGCTAATGATACAAAAGGTTTGCTAGGGTAGATCCTCACCCCCCCCGAACCAAACTCACCCCCCCATCAAACTTACCCCCCCCCCCAATAAAAATCCTGGCTATGAGCCTGCCTAGAGAGGAATATTTTGTCAGATATGGATAAAGGAAACCATGGATATAGCTATATCATAGAGAAATTCTTATCCCTGTTCATTACACTATCTGCCATCTCTTAACAGATTTACAAGCAAATCATATCTAATTTAGTTTTGAATGCAACTTTAGTTTGAGCAGATTCACTGAAATCAATGGGACATGTCAGTTTATCATTACTTTAGGTCCAGCAAGATCTGCAACATCAAAAGGACTAATAATAGTGAATACAGGTTTATGATTCCCTCATACTTTCCCTTTCATTAGGAAGATGAACAGCAACATTCATTGCAATATTCTCCATCACAATTAAGGCAAGCATTTGGGGATCACACCTGTCCTGGAGAGTCATAGACAGCTTCCTAAGAGCTGAAGACATTTTATAATGATGATTATTCTGAAGAACATTGTCTTTAAAACCCGATTAGTCCTCTGAAAAACTTGAGGTGTTTTTATACATGCAGTAAAATCTGGAAGTAACCAGGATAAAAAAGGGGGTGGAGGCAGGGTGGGGGCTAAATGGTGTTTAGCCAAAGTGCAGGTAGAATCAAGCTAACAGCTGAAAAGCATGTGCTAAAAAGTACACTTAAAACCCAATTCTGCCCCCAAAATGTGCATCTTCACATGACTATATATTCCTAAAGTAATTCAAAACACATGACTTCCTTCCTATCCCCCTGTGTGGACTGCTCCAGCGCATATGTTTTAAAAGCCAGAAACAGCTGATCGGGATGTCATAAAATGGAGCCATGGACACACAGGTGGCTAAAGGGAAGAACAAATGGAAAGCAATTAGAACTTTCTGCAACCATTCCTCTCTTTCTTATAATATTAAACAGAGCTTAGATTAGTAAAGAGAGAAAAGAAATCTGCTTGTGTGTACATTGGGATCTCCACATGTGCACATATGAGGACCAGCACATCATTGTTTTTAAAAACTTCTGCTGGATACTCCCTGTCCCCCTCCATCTTGATCTACTTCAAAAGAAGATGTGAGAACAGCGAGGGACCATTTCCTAGGACTGACAGGTCTGTGTGTGAACTTGCTGTCAGGTCCCTGGATTTTCTCCCCAATTTTTAAACCCACATTTTGACACTGTCTGGAAGCGCCCACAGTCTCTAAAACCCTGGTTGCTTTTCATCCTTACTTCACATGTTAAGAGGAACAGCTGCAGAATCAGTTCTTATATCAGTTTGGGAAATTTAATAACCTGAAATATGATGGATGACTTTCCCAATCAGCCACGCATCCTCATATTTTTGGACATCCTTCAAAACCTGCCCAGCAACCTCTTTCTGTACCACCAACACAGCACCAATCCCACAGTTGAATGTTTTCATCATCTCTTCTTCTGAAAGATTTCCCTCTTCTTGGAGCCAAGAAAATATGGAAGGTATCTTCCAACAATGAGCATCTGGGGGGAAAGAACTACATTTGTAAACGACAATACCATTCATACACAACCAGCATAACTACATATTTTGGCACTGTCAAAGCCCTGTTAATCTTTATCAGCAATACTGGATACAATCCAGAGAAAGTCAGACAATAAGTAAAAGCATACATAATTTATCTGTAAACACAGGAAGTTGAGTAAGAGTGTAACATTGAGATCCCCTCCAAAGAGATCTTTCCTATCCAAATTCTGAAATCAGGCAGTAAAATGGATTAGTTTGCCCTAGGAATTGATCTTTTAAAATTTTGGGAAATCAATAGTCATGTTGGAGCATTTGGGAGAGTCTGAGAATGGAGGGGGTTGACTTCTTCCAACACAAAATGAGTAAATCGGTGAAATGATCCACCCCTCGCCTCAAAACTCACAAAGGAGACTCTCCAGAGTCCAGTTCTGGTTTTCAGGTTCTGCTTCTGAGGAAGTAATTCCGCCCTTCCTTTTGGCCTTCTGAAACACAGTAACATTTACATAGTGCAATAACAAGATGACAGCTTGAATTTCTTACTTACCCAAAACTACACTAACTTTTTCTGGAAGAATTTGGGAAAAGCTCCCCATCAATCCCTTTTCAGCAATATGGAGGCAGGCCTTTACATTTCCCAAACGGAAGAGAGGCAACAGGGCTTTGCTATAGATTTTGGACGGGGTTAGCAACTGCTCTCCTGTGAAGATATCATGCAATGAATTTTAAACAAAAGATGAAATCATATGTAATTTGAAGAGGTAGCGAGCAAGGTTCAAAACACCTTCCTCATCACAAGATTGCTTTATTTATTTGTCAGAAGCAATATGTGCTGACAGTAAACATATATCTGACTCGAAGACATACTTGCAAAAGTTACAGTCAAAATCAACACTGAGATCTAATAAAGTGAAGAAATATACAGTTGGCCCTCCATATTTGCAAATTTATTATTATTATTATTATTATTATTATTATTATTATTATTAGCAAATTTTATCATTTGGGGATTTAATTAATATAGTCTCTCTAAAGCAGCATTTCTTAACCTGGGGGCCAGGACCCCTGTGGGGTCGCAAGGGAGTGTCAGAGGGGTAATCAAAGACCATTAGAAAACAGGATTTTCTGTTGGTCATGGGGGTTCTGTGTGGGAAGTTTGGCCCAATTCTATCATTAGTGGGGTACAGAATGCTCTTTTATTGTAGGTGAACTATAAATCCAAGCAACTACAACCCCCAAATGTCAAGTCTATTTTTCCCAAACTCCACAGGTGTTCTCATTGAGTATTCCTGCCAAGTTTGGTCCAAATCCATCATTGTTTGAGTTCACAGTGCTCTCTGGATGTAGGTGAACTACAACTCCAAAACTCAAGGTCAATGCCCACCAAACCCTTCCAGTATTTTCTGTTGGTCATGGGAGTTCTGTTTTACAAGTTTGGTTTAATTTCATTGTTGGTGGAGTTCAGCTATGCTCTTTAATTGTAGGTTAACTATAAATCCCTGCAACTACAACTCCCAAATGACAATATCAATCCCCCCAACCCCACCAGTATTCAAATTTGGGTGTATCAGGTATTTGTGTCAAATTTGGTCCAGTGAATGAAAATACAACCAGCATATTACAATTCAAAACAGCAGCAAAATTATAGTTACGAAGTAGCAACAAAAATAATTTTATGGTTGGGTGTCACCACAACATGAGGAACTGTATTAAGGGGTCACGGTATTAGGAAGGTTGAGAACCACTGCTAGGCCCTCTAGTGCAGGTCTATGGTCAGGTTGCCTGAATAGAGTCACACTGGAGAACTTACAGGTTCACAGAGATATGTTACCTCAGATAAAAAATAGATTATTTTATTTGTGTTTTTCACAGGTGTCCTGCATCCCTAATCCCAGTGAATGAGGCGGGCCAACTGTACACTAGGTTTTAAATTAGTTAATTATGTACAATGTTGCAACTTGAAGACTCAGTAACAGCTTAGTGCTCTTGCTTTCCAAAGAAAGAATTAAGGTAAGAAAATGACTGGTGTTAATTTACCCAAAGAACAGCAGCTGTTACACCCAACAGGAACTGAAGACAAATAGTGTGGCGATGATGTTGAAATAATCTTCCTCACTAGACTAAATCCTTGGCTGTGAAGACCAGAAGAAGCAATCCCAATGACAAGATCCCCACTGGCAACCTTCTCCTGCTGGGGAAGATGCCTTCCTCGTTCCACAGCACCAACTGCAAAGCCAACAAGGTGGTATTCACCAGATGCCCAGGTGCCAGACATTTCACTGGCCTCTCTTGCTAAAGGAGAAAAGGGAGAAAATGTCATGAAGCTTGCTTTTCATATAAGGATGCCATAGCATTCCTCATTTAGTTGCAAACACAGTGATGTCTGTGTGTCTGACTGTATACTGTATATAACTATCACTAATTTGAGCTTGATTCCCAAAGTTTTGGTCTTAGGGGGAACAAAAGAAGGAGACCCAGGCTGTATCTACACTCCAATCTAAAATCCAGATTATTTGCTTTGAACTGGATTATATGGCAGTGTAGATGCATATAATCCAGTTCAAAGCAGATCATGTAGACTATCTGATTTGATACTTTGTATTGCAGCGTAGATCCAAGCCAGGAAAGATCAGCAGAAATACAAAATAACAATATTGATAGGACAGGGCAGGTGGGGAATTTTTTTCCAAAGCCTGAGCACACATGCATACAACAGACACAAATGAAAAAGCCTAGGATCCCACAGCTGAATTGTACTTCCTAAATTTAGAATGTGGCATCAATCAAGTACAAATTAGATACTTTTTCAAGTCTTTCCAATTTAATCTGAAATTGTAAACCAAGCTCTTGGAAAAAGATATTTTTCTGGGAATACAAGGCTATCACGACTAAAGCATTCTGGGCAATTTGGAGATACAGTCCAAAAAGTCCATTCTGGGAGCCGGGGAAGACTTGTAACTTTTGGGGGAGTACAATACCCAAAATCTTGACCTGGATATAATGTCAAGATAACCATGTAAGACTGTATCTGGCAATCTCACGTCAATATGTTACTGGGATTAACTGACCAAAGGAAAGGCGCTCTAATACAACACTAGAGCATGTTTTTAAAATGGAGATTGGATGCAGGAGACTAGTATAACTATTTTTGTCACTGCAAGTATGTCTGTCTGTCTGTCTATCCATCCATCTATCTATCTACACACACACACATACAGAATGCAGATACAATGTTGATAGTTCCAACCCAGATTTGGACAATTTCTGATAAGCTTTTTGTGTGTAGTTGCCCCCTTCCCCAAATTTGGAAGACCTTCTAAATTAAAGTAAAACTTTGCAATTGGAGATTTGTGTTGTTATCAAGAAAATATAAGGCTATTTATATGTGAGGAAACATTTTAGAATTGACGCAACAGAACAAGTGGTCATACCAAGGAGAAGACATCCTGCCTGATCACAAGCTTCTGCAATGCCATCAGTGATCACCTGAGCTACTCCAACATCCAGTTTTTCAAAGGCAAAATGATTGAGAAAAAAGAGGGGCTCCGCTCCCTGAGCTAAGATTTCATTAACACACATGGCAACCAAATCCTGACCAATCGTGTCATGGTTATTGCAGAGTTCGGCAATCTGTAATAAAGAAGTGAATCAGAACTGAACTGTAATGCAAATGCATTTCTTTTAAAAAGAAAATGTAAAGACTAAATCAGTCCTTGGTCTTGATGGAGCCAAACGCTTGGGTACATTCAACAGTTGTAGTTTTACCATTAGTGGAAGAAGAAGGAACTCAACTCCTCTTCTTCCACTACTGGTACCGGTATTGACACATCAGTACTTCGACTCCCGAATACCAAGGAGCTGATATAGTTTTGGGAAGGCAGAAGGCAGAGCAACTGCAGGACCACTTTCTAAAACAGTTGGAAATGCCTTATGAGGATAAAAATGTTATGCAGCTCCTTCGACCTCCGTGGGTGGAACGTTAGAATTGGTTCACTATGGGGGTTAGGGTGCTAAAAAATTAAACTTGATCAGAAAATGATGCTCATTCTGCAATAAAACAAATAAGACACAACAGTCAAATACGTTTTGTGTCTTGCTGCTCATCTTGAGGCCCATGTTTGTCCTACTAGCTGTGAAGTCTCAAGCTGCTCCAGACAAGGTGGCCTGGGTGTGAATGTTAAAGTGCAACAAAACTGTGTTAACCTCTTAAACATTTGAGAATAATGACTGCTGACAGCAGCTCATTGACATATTAACAGAATTCTAGTCCTATTTCTGTCCTTTAAGTCAGACACACAAGTTACAATGCAAGGGGACTTGCCAGGTTGCTTAGGAACACTTGGCTGGATGTTCATAGAAAAATAAAACAAAACGATCACCCATAAACTAGAACCATCATTTCCCAGGTCTGATTAATCTGGCATGGAATATGAAGAATTAAAAATTCATGCAGCCAGAAGGCAAACAAGGAAGAAAAGCCAAAAGGAAGATTTATTGGCAGGAAAGCTCAAAGATTTTTTTAAGGGAATGTTATCATTATGCTAGCACCCCCACCCCCAAAGTAATTAGTAGCTTTTGTTACAAATGGTTTGGAATAGTTATAAGCATATGTCATTGATTCTATTTCATCTGGATTAGAATGGAATCGATCTGTTGTCACTTGTAGCAAAATTGTCCAAACGGAATAACGAGAACTTTTCTGTTTACCTTCTGTTTTGTACCAATGCTTTTAATTTGAGATACTAGAATGGGATCAACATAACCAGATGCTCTCAAATCGAAGAAGGCAGGTGTGCCTTGCTGCTCCTCATCGTTGCCTGCAAAGTACATAAAGTCAAAAAGCTGAAGATTGTTCTCTTCATTCAGCTCACTGATACAGGCATAGGATACTGGGAAGTGTTAGAATATATGAAGGAGAAAAAAACCTCATCTACTTGGATATATTCTTCTCACATATTGGATTCAGACATGCCTAAGCATCATTTGACATGACATAAAATAACCTCATCTTTTGTAGTTAGTCATTTTGACTTCTTAGAGGGTCCAGCCCATCTATTTGTAATTTTAATAGTCTACAATACTCACAAAATTCAAAGATTGTCCACCTTTGATTTTTCAAATGATTAGGACCTCAGTTCCCAGAAACCAAGCCCCAGAGGAAATGGCCAATAATCAGTGCTTCTAGAAGTCTAAAACATAGGCCCACCAAGCTTGTAAACAAGCACGTTGAGGAATCCTGTATTGATAGCCCTATATTTCCAGAACAAAGTGTATATTTTATTTGTTTTATATGATGCATGCCATACCACAACAGCTACTCCTCTCTGGGAGAAAAACAATGCACTTACCGAATTTACCTTTACAATATTTATAAATAAATGAGAAATAAAATATTTTGAGGGTAATTTATATGAATAGTTAAAGTTTCAGGTATACGAATAAGCACAATCTTCTGATAGAATGAATTTATAATAAAACCAAAGTGAAAAGGTGGGCAAATATTCACAGCAGTGCAAAATGTAAGGCTGGTTCTACACTGTCATATAATCCAGATTATTGGCTTTGAACTAGATTATATGAGTCTACATTATCATACAATCCAGTTCAATGCAGGCCCCTTCTACACTGCCATATTATCCAGATTATCAAAGCAGATAATCCACAGTATCTGCTGTGAACTGGATTATATCAGTCTACACTGCCATATAATCCAGTTCAAAACAAATAATCTGAATTATATACGGCAGTGTAGAAGGGCCTATGTCATGCATTCAGTGTATTCACGGAAATCAATTGGATTTAAATTAATTACTATAGTCCTATTTATTTCAATGAGTTTACTGTATGTATAATTTAAATCTTGGTACCAGGCGGGCATTGGTCTGAACCATATGGCTTACCGTATTCCATATCCCTTCTTTCCATTGCCCGGGAAGTACATTTAAACTAATTTACTGTATAATAAATTTATGGCAGTCAACATTTATCCCACATATTTAGTATCCCATCTCTTTGTCACAGTGCAAGAAAGGCAAAACAACCAAGAAAGCTGTTGCCCCATATTGGCTGGTACAGACATGACATTTGTGTGGAAAAAAATGTTTTGCGTTGGAGATATTTGAAATATTTCCATCAAGCCCATTTTTTAATTTGCCAGTTCACCCTGTCCTTACCTGGCTTGGAACCACTGGGAGCTGGAAGCTTAGGTGGGTGGCTCAAGATACTGCAAACAATGTCTTCATATAATGGGCTCCTAAAATAAAAGACACATCAATGTCATAGATGTTGCAGCAGGAATATCCATAACATAAGAGAAGAACTTAAACATGACTCCCACTCAACCTCTGTTGCCAAGGGAGCTTTAAAGAACTGCACCAAACTGAAAAAGGAAGTGGGACACAATCATCTGACCTTAGACAAGTTGCCTTCTTTGAACTGGATTCTCCAGGGTAATTCTTGAAGTTGACCTCAGAAAAGATAATTTTACAACATCTGCTCCAGACTATGAGAAATCTTATTATTGTTTCCTTATCATATTATTTATTATAAAACAGTTTGGCTGGTTATATTACAAATGTATTTTAAGAATAGATAAATAACATTGACTACTATCTTGATTTGCTGATTGAAATAGCATAATTTGTAATAATTTCAATATGTCATCATGTTATTGAAAGGAATTGTTCATATGGACTGGCTTGAGAACCATATTTGGGAAAAATTCAGGATAAAAACATAATAAACTATAATGTGTTATGCTTCAAAATGAATTAGTATTAAAGTGTGTACTGTAATAATATATTCATATTTGGTGGAAGAGTATGTTTGTATAAAAGAGAGGATACAAAAATAGAAATTGCAATTACATGTTGATATTTTGCATTGTCATTGTGCAATGAAGAGCCCCTGGTGGCGCAATGGGTTAAAACCTTGTGCCAACAGGACTGCTGACCAAAAGGTCGGTGGTTTGAATCTGCGGAGCAGGGTTAGTTCTCATCTGTCAGTTTCAGCTTCTCATATGGGGACATAAGAGAAGCCTCCCACAGGATGGTAAAACATCTAGGCATCCCCTGAGCAAGGTCCTTGCAGATGGCCAATTCTCTCACACCAGAAGTGGCTTGCAGTTTCTCAAGTCGCTCCTGACATGAAACAAAAAATGTTCAATGGACAATAGCACGCAATTGACTGGCAAGAACAATACAAGAGTGCTATTCTGCATGAAGGTTGTGCAGTGCTAAAGTAGTGTGTCTTTCCATGCAGCTATTTATGCTACAACACTGGATTGCAGCCATACTAGTACTTTTTTAAAATACGTACACAGACTGCCCAAGGAATTTCAAAGTCAGAAAGCCCACATCCTTTCTGTATGTTGCATCTGGGAAATAAATTACTTCTAGTCCCTTGTAAGCTTCTTCAAGTGCTGACATGAGCCCCTGCTGGAGAGCTGTTACTGCCAAGACTCTGCTTCCATTAGTCAACACTCTATCATTCTTTTTTATGGTTGCTCCATGAAAGATCTCGAGTCCCAATTCCTTGGCCTGAAGTAGTCCTACAAAAATTAAAAGGAAAGATATTTCAGAATACTTCATTGCGTTATACTGAGTGTTTCAACACTCAGTTTTATTTAACTGGAGGCGGATAGTGGGGAAACCTATTTCACATTTTATACCATGTTTCACTCTAGGAACCCTTGAAAACAAGAGACCAAGAAAGAGCATTATCTCATCAGCTCAGAATAAATTCCTACTGATTTCAGTGGTGCAGACTCAAGATTTAGGCCCCATCAACACTACCAAATAAAATCCAGATTATCTGCTCTGAACTGGATTATATGGCAGTGTAGACTCATATAATCCAGTTCAAATCAGATTATCTGGATTATCTGATTTGATAATCTGGATCATACGGCATTGTATATCCAGCCTTGGAAAGCCAGCTTCATAGAAAGTAGATAATATGGTCTTCAAGAACCATCAACAGCCAAAAAGAGAAATAAAAGTATCCAACATAAATTCAAGTCTGAACTCACACTAGAAGCCAAAGAGAATGTATTGAGACTGTCATATATATGTGAGACAGTGTGACACAATAAAAACGGATCTGAGCAGAGCTCTTAATACGAGTAATAAGATGTCATGGAGGTCTCTCATGTATTGGTTTGTCTAAGATGAAGCTAATTTGATGCCAATTAACAAGAAACATATAAGTAAGTGAATGAGTATAGGATTGCACCCTTGCCCTAATAAACAATTTAAAGTAAAAGAGCAGGGCTGGGCAAAGTATGGCTATCCAGATGTTCAGGTGCAACTCCCTCACTGCTGGCTTCACCGCCCATGGGTGATGGAACTCCAGCAACATCTGGAAGGGCACATTTTGCCCACATTCCTGTACTTGAGAGTTAAGAGGATTATCATGGAAAGTTTATCTGACAAGGAATAATGACAATCATCAAATAAAAAATAGATTATTAATTCTCTCTTGCAATAGAAGTGATCAGAATGAATTACCAGTGATCTCTGTGCTCTGTGCAGGACAGCCTTCACATGCCATGACAATTGCCACCGCAGTTAAATTATCTGACCAAGATAATGTCACATCACGGAGTTTGCCATCGATAGCAGCTTGGATCACTTCACATAGATCATTGCTAAGAAGTCGAAGAACTACCTGCAAAATTGGATGCAATAGACAAATCGGTGAGTACAGTATTTTTTATTTGTTTCCAGAAATCCATGGAGATCAGAATACAATGGGTCTAGTCCAGTCCATGGAAATAGCCCCTGTTGGAAATGAAAAAAACCTCCTTCAAGCCTTCTCTCATAATACGTTTATCTATGATCCTGTTGCATACTGTCTGTATGTATGTTCTGGTATGCAGCTTCCTTTACTCTATGGTTTCTGAAAAGTCCCTGCAGGCTTCTTGCCTTCTTAGCCCTGCCTCCTCTCCCACTGAGGTCTCATCCACACTAGCCAAAAGGTTTGGGATTTGGTAGGTGTTTCCTCATGTACTTATCAAGACTTTTAAAGATATCCATATGACATACCTACTAGCAGTTTTTATGTGACTTTCTAGAACTGCTGCAACTTTGAAAACCCAGGAATGGTAAGCTCCCAAGGACTTACTAAACAGGCAGAAATAAATGCCCACAACTGTTTCTATATTTTGAGCCAACAAAATATCTGCCCTCAGTAAAAGTTACCTATCCCTGATTTATTCAGTCCTTTTAAAGTGTTTAGCGTATGTTATGTACTGTTACTAAACCAGACCAGCATGATAAGTCCTGTATTGTAGGGTGCAAGTATAGTAATAGTATCTTATTTCAAATAATGAATTAATGGCAAAAGAAATCTCACGATTTTTAGCTCTGAATTGTCAAACCAGAATCTGTGAGGCTGATGCAGTCTAGTCATGGCATTATACTACCTTCTTTTTGGTCATTTCACCATGCTTTTGCCGTGTCAGGAGCGACTTGAGAAACTGCAAGTCGCTTCTAGTGTGAGAGAACTGGCCGTCTGCAAGTGTAACAGCATTACATTATCACAGCAGAAATCTTGAGAATTTGTGGGCTCAGTAGTCCATAGAGTCAAGCTGGACAGCTCTGTCTTACCTGACACTGAAGGTCACCAAAGTTACAGTCCATGCTTAAAACTTTCACGCCATCTTTTGTAAGTATTAATTCTATTTGCAGCACACCTGGATATGAGAATGACAAAAGCTATTTTACAAAAATGATTGAAAGTAGTAAACAGCAAGATGAAGGTATGACATGAAGTAAAGCACAGGAAACCTGTAAATTGTTACTCATTGAGGTTCAAAATTTTCACCAATAAAATAATTCTTCAGGTGAAGTTATTTATTAAATACGCCTGAATAGAACCTACTGGGTGATGGCACGGACAACAAGAACTGCGGTTTTAAATATGAGGAACATCTTATATAATAATCCAGAAAGAAAGCGTATGTGAGAATCAACCACAGAGCAGAAAATAATGTCTAAACCCTATGATTTATGACATCTCTTACCTACATATGACATGCCTTCTTGCCCCATGCAGTCAATAATGTGTTGAAGAAGTGTGCTTTTAATTTTTTCTAGGAGAACTTCAGAAACCTAAAGAGCAATGGAAAATAGGAACCATTCAGAATTCTCTGTAATAAGCAATACAATATTCCCTCACTTATCGTGGGTGATCCGTTCCAGGACCACCCGCAATAAGTGAAAATACGTGAAGTAAGGATGCTCCACCCACTCAACAGCGGTCTTGTCCTCTTCGCCGAATCTGCTGCTCATGGCCTCGGAGGCCCTTTGGGTGCCATTGATGGCACTGCCAGGCTGGGCTGAGGTCTGGTCTGAGGCCTCAGCCCAGCCTGGCAGTGCCGTCAACAGGGCCCAAGGGGCCTCTGAGGAGGTGAGCAGCAGACTCGGCAAAGAGGAGGATGCTGCTGTCAAGTGGGCGGAGACAAGCCCCAGGGTAAGGCCTAGAGTATGCCTCCCCCCCCCTTTATTGCAGACCGCGAAACAGTGAGTCCGCAATAAGCGAACCATGATATAGCGAGGGAACACTGTATACCAGTTGTACTTCACAGCAAATTTGTTGCACCCCAGGCCTGGAAAAACCTATGACAACAGCACCACACATGAGTCCAGAGTATAAGCAAACAGTTTATTGTAAAAACACATACAATATATAAAAAATCAGGAATAAAGAAATAAGATATATATATATATATATAATCCAACTGTCTTATGCAGATCCCAAGGTGACACAGTCCAGGGATAGCCAAACAATCACAAGTACAGCATAAGTCCACAAGTAAAAGGTATACTTAGTAAAACTTGAGCAGAAATACAAAACAAAAACATTGAAAACTTCCCGGATACTTAAATCCCAAACAAAGGCTTGACTTGAAACAAGAACCAGAGAATGCAGGCCTAGCTTCTCACTTTAATGCTACTTTGCCTGAACCAACCCTTAGGTAAACAACTTGCTAATTAATAGGGAGCCATGAAGTCATTTCTTTTCCCATGAATTTTCTCCCCAACTTTCCCACCTACTTGCTCTGACCAGTGCTGTCTATTTTGTGCTCTAATCTGTAAACAAAGACTTTTGTTGATCTCCCTAGCTCCAGGTATTTTTCCTGGGAGCCTTCCATATCCCTTAGCACTTCACCCAACTCCTTATCTAATGTTGCAGTTTCTGGCTCCTCTAACTGACCTTGAAGCCCTGCACTTTCTGAGTCAGATTCTCCCAGAAAAAAACATCATTAGTTACCCATAACTTATTTTTTGAGCAACTCACTCTGCTCTTTGTAATCACAACACTCACTCCTAAGTGTGCACAGATCAATTGTAGAAATCTTTCTTCGAACTGATGTCTAACTGATAGATCAGCATTTGCTCAGTTCCCTCTCTTTTTCTGAAACTGTAAACAACATTTGCCACTCTCTGATCTGCTTCTTTCATTTCTTATATATGTCTCTTAAATCTTAACTCATCTGAAAATGCTTTGCACTTCCACCTTGGTTTCTTTCTTTAGACACAACCCACTATAACAATATAACTGTAAAATATCCTATGTTGTACCTGGAAGTAAAGAAGGAAGGTCGGTAGAAAACTTCCATGCCAAACGTCACAGTCTTATTCAACATCACATCAGTGGGATTGCCCAGAAGTATGGGAACAAATGAAACTGGCTACAGATGTAGGAATTTGCCTCTTCCAGTATCAGGCTGGATATACACTGCCATATAATCCAGATTATCAAAACAAATGATCCACATGATCTGCTTTGAATTGGGCTGTATGACTCTGTACTGCCATATATGGTAATCAATTCAAAGCAGATAATCTAGATGTTATGTGGCAGTGTAAATCCAGATTCAAAACAACCCCATCCATTCCTGTTTTAAATGTTTAAAAATCATGGCCAGACTAAAAAAATTCACAATAGAACAGAAAAGGAAGTATGTCATATGGATTTTCCAAAAATCCCAATAAGTGCAAGAGCAATGCCCACCAAATCCTGAAGCTTTTTGCCAGACTGAAGAAATCCTGTATGATTGGCATGAAATTCAGAGCCTTAGTATTTGAGCATCTGAATATAAAACACAATAAGAGAAAATCATTTTTGCTACCTGAGGTACAGGCCCATAAGCTCCCATTCCAACAGTGCTTGGACCTTGTTCTCCATCCAGAAGTTGCTTCTGGACTTGGACTGGTGGCATGGAAGTAAAAGTATCTCTATCCACAAAGCAGAGAAACTGTGAGGAAAATAACAGGAATTGAGTGATATATGTCAAAAGCAAACATTGTGTATATTTCTTACACTTTGCATGAGATTGGAAGAATTCAGGAAATAGCATGAGTCTGACTAAAGTGAGATGGCCAAAGTTGTACCCAATGTTTAGCTAACACAAAAGGAAAATGTGTGGCAGTGTTTTGCAAGTACTAACACAGAGCAGTTAGTGCAAGCAACATTAAAACCTAGACTGGATCTACATTGTCATATAATTCAGTTTCTGAATCCAGATTATCTGCTTTGAATTGGATTATATTAGTCTACACTGCCACATAATCCAATTGTGTGTAACACAATTGGATTATGAAACAGTGTGTAGAACATCTTGTCAAATGACTTGTTAAATTGCGTAGAAAACAGCCTGTGCAAACATAATTAGAACAGAAACTGTACCAAAATGCTGACATCTATGCAGAGATGAAAACAGAGTTTCTACAAGTAGCATTGTTTTGTTATTACTCCACTGGACACACTCTGTTAGCACTTGCTAGATGTCACAGCTCAATCTGCTACACATCTCAGCTAGGCAACAGCTTCTTTGTGCAGCAGTCCCATATGCTCCACACTTTTTATGGTACCCTTGAACCTAATAACATAATTTATTCAAGGAGCTCAGGGGCCCCAGTTTTGTCAACACAACAATCCTACCAAGTAGGTTTGGCTGGAAAACTGGGACCAAAGCAGAGATGTCTAGTAAGCTTCAAGACAGGTAGTAAAGGTTGTCCCCTGACATTAAGTCAAGTCGTGTGTGACTCTGGGGGTTGGTGCTCATTTCCATTTCTAAGCCAAAGAGCTGGCGTTGTCCATAGACACCTCCAAGGTCATGTGGCCGGCATGACTGCATGGAGTGCCGTTAGACAGGTAGAGAGATCTAAACTCAAATCTTCATTCCAGCACATTTTCCTGCATTCACAAGACAATGGACTAATAGTAAACCTCCCAACTCTACAAATCTGTGATTAGCCATGACAATACACTAGAAAAAATATTTTAACAATAAGAAAACAATACAAGAAAACTATTTTTTTAATGTAAAACATACAGAATATTCTTCGCCTTTAAGAAGTTCTTCGACAATAACTGTTTCTCGATAGTCGCCAAAAATGTTGCCCTGTGTTATAAATATGAAATCCACTGGTCAGATTATTATTATTATTATTATTATTATTATTATTATTATTATTATTAAAATAAGAAAGTTGCAATTATAGTGACAGTTGTTGATTTCAGTGCTTGATACATTTTTGTTGACTATGACTTTCAGTCTACATCATATAGGAGATTGTGTTCATTAGAATATGTGTAACTTATCTTGATTCTGCACAGTTGTTTGATGGGAGATAATATCCACAACCTGAATAAATAAACAGTAAGTCCTTTTAGGAGGACTGTATCATCTGAGAATATCAGTCAGGGATTACATATTAAAATTAAGAGAAAGCCTTACATTTATTTACACATACAACTTTCCAATTATATTTCAACAAAGAAAAATATGATCCAACCATGTTGGAAAAAAGAGAAGATCTTAGACCTGACACCTCAATGACATTTGGCCTTAATTTACAGAAGAATACCCCCTGACACAATCCTCCGAATCCCATGTCTAGACCTTGGAAATTCTTTAACTGCTGTTGAATGCTGTTTATTATTCACATGCATAAGTTACATAAGTTATCTATTTCAATTTTATGAAATTTTTCTGGAAGCTAAGTTCTACCTGAAAATAGTACTGAATAGTTGCTTTATCCCAACAGTGGATGAAAAAAGATTACAGTAGATAGAATACTTTTCCTTGAGATGCTCGCTTTCTACAAACAGGGGCAACAAACAGAAATTGTGTTTCTGAATTTAGATTACTTAATTAATATATGTTGTTGGGCAAACATGTTGCTTATAAATAAAATCTTTGTTGAATTGCAGATTGATTTACAGTTTTTGTGAGTACAAATTATCCTTTTCAGCATTGATAGAATAATTTCAAGAAAGGACTAGCTATGTATTTCAACTCAGTGAAATGAACATATACAAAAAATAGTGCAGTCACTACAAAAAGTAACATATTTCATAACTCATTGTTATAAGTAATGCATTTTGATATAAAGAAACATCTCTATTATATAGGGCAGAGCCATTATAAACCAGAATTACTATAGTTTAACAGATACATGTCACCTGCAGAATTTCTTGTGTTGCCTTGCAAGCTTCTTCTCTGTTTGATGCAATAATGACTTCTTTTCTATGTCCAAATCCACTAGGTTTTACCACCAATGCAGGAAAATCGACACTTTAAATTTAAAAAATAGCAGGCTAGAGGTAAATCACTGAAAATGTTCTCATTTTAAATCAAAGTCTAGACCAGGTGTCCACAAACTAAGACCCACAGGCCAGATGTGGCCCTCCAATGTCAATTCCCCCCCCCCCCACTTTAGACTTAGGTTTGCCCTAAGTCTGAAATGACTTGAAGTCACGCAACAATCCAAATTAACTTAACTATTTCACCAGCCAAAAGCAGGCCCACACCTCCCATTGAAATACTGATACGTTAGTTCAAACTATTCTTCATTTTAAATATTGTGTTGTTCTTTCATGAGTTTTTTTTTTTGCATTACAAATAAGATGTTTACAGTGTGCATATAAATTTGTTCATTTTTGTTCATACTGTAGCCTGTTCCCCCAACAGTTTGAAGGATCGTGAACCGACAATCTGCTTTAAAATTTTTAGGACTCCTGGTCTAGACCGATGCATTTAACAAAGGACTCCTTTTAAAAGAATTTACAGAGCTAGTTTCCTACTTTGTATGGCTTTAAAGATGACCGTTTGGATCCCAATTCAGCCAACAACAGCCACTGGGGGCGCATCCAGACAGGGCACAAACTGTGCACCCTCCTGGATAGTAGTAGGGGGTGTCCAAACGACGCCCCACAAAATCGTGAATACTATCAGCACAAAGCAGGAAAACTCTGCCCTGTGCAGAGATAATTTGCTAGTGGGTTTGTTCCACGTCATCTTGGAAGGCGCGGGTCGAACCCACTATGACCACTGTCAGGACTTCTGAGGGGGCAATCCTGACAGCATTCTGGCATTTTGTCAGATGCAATCAGCCCAGAAAACTGCAAGGGCATCAACCCACTCTCCAAACCCTTTTAAAAACTCTTTGGACTGTAATAAATTGTTGTAGTAGTTATATTGAAAGTTATTGTTTATAAACGCGATCATTTGCCCATGAAAGAAATGTACAGATGTACTTAGAAAGGAGCCATTAGTTGTACTTTGAGAATATAAATAATATTTTAACTGGCAACTTCTTAGGGGTATTATATAACTAGAGACACAATATAAACAACAATCTATTATCACAAAATCTAAAGAATAGCCAGTTATTCATAAACTAAAAGTATCACTTACTTGTTAATAAAGGTGCAAGCTTCACGAGAACTGGTGAATGCCTTCCATCTTGCCGTGGGAATGTCATGTTTCTCAAGAAAGACTTTACTGAAATGCCTGTTTGCTCCCAATTGTGCTGCTCTCGCTGTAGGGCCAAAACAGCTAACTCCAGCGGCTATCAAGTCATCAACAATTCCTAATAATGAAACACTGAAAAAGTCAAACCTAACTTCTTAGACAATGTTACTGTTTATTCAAGTATCATTTTTCTCCCATCTCAATAAAGAGATCACGGAATTGGGGGAAAAATTGAAATTATCAGAAGGCAAGCAATCAATTTGAAGGAAGACTTAATGAGCATAACCACCCTCAACTGTCTTAAAACTATTGTCACATTATAATTAAATTAGAAAATTGACACCTAGGAACCAAGATCAGAATGAACTTGATAACTCAGCGTTTATATAAACTGAACAGACTGAATAGGTCTACTTTTAGTTATGATAAAAGATTTACTCCTATTAATAATGATTTGTTTTACACTCCATTTGGTGCTATGTTCTAAAATTTGATTCCTCATCCAGTGTTGCATAAACAACTTCTTTGCTACCTAAAACTGAATATTGAATCATATTTTTCTTTTCTTTTTTAGTCGTTTAAACCTTACCAGCTGTAAGCATCACTTCTGGTCCAGCAATCACAAATCCAATGTTATGATCTTTGCAGAACTGGGCAAGAATAGTATGGTTGCTAATTAAAACAGCTGAAATGAATCATAAAGAGAAACGGTTAACAAACATGTGAATCTGAATAACTTACGTATGACTGTTGTAAGAATCTTCTTCCAGTTAAACATACCTAGCACCCTAAGTTATTCCGTATCAGGCTTTGTTTCCAGAACTTTTACCATCCAGGATACCTTCCTTTGGTATGTTTCAGCTTGTCAATATCGTTTCAGGTCACCCTCCTTTGGACACATTTTAGTTTGTGTATATCCTTCTTGAATGCTGATTTCCAGAACTGGACACAATAATCTAGATGCAGTCTGACCAAAGTAGTGTCTTTATCCCTGCTTGAATTAATTTTTTAATTCGTTTCAGGTGTGAGAGACATTGCAGAGACATTGCCCAGGAGACACCCAGATGTTTTACCATCCTGTGGGAGACTTCTCTCATGTCCCCACATAGGAAGCTATTGCTGACAGACGTAGAGCTCATCCCGTCAGTAGTTCAGCTGGCACAAGGGTTTAACCTATTGCGCCACCGTGGCTCCTGCTATCACTCCTAATTTGGTGTCATTTACATATAATGATGTTGAGCAAAACCAAGTCCAGAACAGAACCATGTAATACCTAACTATTCACATCTTTCCAAGGTGGAGAGGAACCATTTATGAGTCCACCAAACAATAGCATTTTATATTTTTTTAAAAGATATATTTGTCTAGGATGATGTTTTTGAAAAAAGCATGCTGACTTTTAGTAATCATAGAATTCTTTTCTATCTGTTTAAAGACACATTGTTTCTGTTCTTCAAAAGTTTTTCTCAATTTTTAGATTTGGTTGGAAGCTGCTTGTTTCCTTCTTTTTCTAACTTTTTCTAACATCATTTACTTTCCTCTAGTATGCTAGGAACTCTCTTGTTCCTTAGGAATTCTCAAAGATTATTGACAGATGCTTTGAGATTACATCTACAAGTGCCCTGGGTACAGTGCATCAGTTCTAAAAGCCTGAATTTGTTTAGAGTTGCTGTGCATTTCTCCATTACCTATTTACCTATTCTGAGCTGCAGTCGCTGGACTAGTGCATCATTTGTTAAATCTGTGCAAGGATGAGCTTTGTAGTGGTTGGCTAAGACCAAAAAGTATACCTGATTCTGGTTCTTTCTCTTTTTTCATTAAAATAATACTATTCAGGCCTTTAAATTCATATCTCCTCAGGGTGGCTTACAAAGTGAAAATTTAAAACTTTTCATCCTCTTCTAATACTTCCTCTATTTGTTGTCTATTTTTTTCTCTTCCCTTCCCTTCTTTCCTATCTCTATATCTTTTCATGTCACTACAGACTTTCCCCTGTCCAGCTTCCTCTAAGACACTGTGCATAAGGGGGCCTGCTGTTATCCATCACTTTTTTCGTGACAGGAGTGACTTGAGAAATTGCAAGACGCTTCTGGTGTGAGAGAATTGGCCATCTGCAAGGACATTGCGGAAGGGATGCCCTGATGTATTACCATCCTGTGGGAGGCTTCTCTCATGTCTCCATATGAGAAGCTGGAGCTGATAGACTGGTGCTCACCCTACTCCCTGTATTCGAACTGCCGACCTTTCAGTCAGCAGTCCTGCCAGCCCAAGGGTTTAACCCCTTGCACCACTGGGGGCTCCAAAGGTTGCAATGAAACAGTGACACAAGCAGCTCAGATTCAGAAGGACAGGGCAAGCAATTACATCTGAATGTGGGATGAGACCCACTAGTGGATCCCAGTCCAAGGTTTGCAGAACAGTCTTAAGGAAATAATCCTTTTACCTGAGTTAGAGATCTTCCCATCACTCGCTGTTCCTGCATTTCCTGGAGCGACCAGCACCTGCTTCACGTGTGGAGACTGCGCCAGTTTCCAAGCCAGAGCATGTTCCCGGCCTCCGCTGCCAATCACAAGCACACGATCCGCCATCTGGGTGTTCAGAATAAGACATGTTTTGTCATTTACAAAACCACTGCAGTACCTCAGTCATGAGCACTCTTATTCTGAAGATAATTCAATTTATTGGATGGAAACTAATAATTATTTCATTATTAACAATATGTTCATTAATTAACAAATAATTTCAGTAATTCATCCTGCTCTTTTCCAGCACAACATTGCAAATAATGCCAGAAACTTTTCAGAGCCTCATGCGATAATGTCCTGAGTAATTCTGTGCTTGAGAGCTGAAGCAATTGTGAGCTAGCAAGCTCTACTGCTAAAGGCCAGGAGAGTGGGATGGAGCTGTCGAAACACAGAATTTCAAGTTCTTTACTAAACTGTAAATCTCGTAATTCCTTTGGATTGTTCTGTAGTGTTAAACTTCTACAACAGTTTCAGCACAGATGTATTTTTAGTAATAGGAGACAATATTCTACTGACTCAAATCATTAGTCCCTTTGGCTTAGTACTGACTACTCTAAACTGAGTGGCAGGACATCCAGTAAAATATTTGTCTAATTGCATGGAATCATGTAGTCTACACCTCTAGACAGCATAACCCATGATGATTAATGCTGGGAAATGCAGTTGAGCATCAGCTGCAGAGTTGCATTATTCTCACATCTTGCCCATGGCGATGTCAAGAAAGAAACAATAGATCTATATATTTATTGCATGTAACAATCACTCATAATCCCCCCTTCCATTTATTGGCACAATAAGCTTATGAGGTAAGTTAAAAAGAAAATGCAGAACTGGCTCAAGATCAATAGACTGAACTTTTACAGTTAATAAGAAGTAAGGCTGTATCATTCAGGTATTATTTAGACAACAATCTGGTTACTAAAGACAACAAATTAAACATGAGCCAACAATGTCATGCGGTGGCAAAATAATAACAACAACAATAATAACAACAAATGGGATTTTGGCCTGCATAAATAGGAGTTTAGTGTCTAGATCCAGGAAAGTCATGCTACCCCTCTATTCCACCTTGGTCAGACCACACCTGGAATCACACTGTGTCCAATTCTGGGCACCGCAACTGAAGGGAGATGTTGACAAGCTGGAATGTGTCCACAGAAGGGCGACTAAAATGATCAAGGGCCTGAAGAACAAGCCCTATGAAGAGCAGCTCTAAGACTCCACTTTTTTTGGCAGTTAAGAGGCAAACTGAGGTGAGCACACAATCAAACTGCACAGATTGATGCAGTTATCCATAATGCACCTTGTGGAACAGTCATCAGAAGAAATAACTGGGTTTTTTCCTCAATACTGTTTTGCAGACAATAATCACCCGCTATCAGAAAATTAAATATATATTTTCTTGAAAATGACAGCAATAAAATTAAACTATGTTGTAGAGGAAGAACAATGCTATCAGCTCTCCCAATAACGCACCCTAGCCACACAGTTTTGACTTTACTTCGTAGCACTTTCATTCAGTGACCTTATTTGTTATATGAATTGGGAACAAGCTATCTTAAATGTCAAGGGAAAAACACTCAGTGAATGTGACCTTTAAAAATTATATTGTTGACATTATCCAGCCTGGCAAATCAAATATATTAATTAAAGTGTAGTGAAATGTATCAGATTTTCTAACATGGGATTACAACTCTTTCTATATAAACATTAACATGAGTTTAATGTGTTGTCAAAGGCTTTCATGACCGGAATCACTGGGTTGCTATGAGTTTTCCGGGCTGCATGGCCATGTACCAGAAGCATTCTCTCCTGACATTTCACCCACATCTATGGCAGGCATGCTCAGCGGTTGTGAGATCTGTTGGAAACTAGGAAAGTAGGGGTTATATATCTGTGGAATGTCCAGGATGGGAGAAAGAACTTGAGGCAAGTGTGAATGTTGCAATTGGCCACCTTGATTAGCATTTAATAGTCTTTTAGCTTCAAAACCTGGCTGCTTCCTGGTTCGGGAAATCCTTTGTTGGGAGATGTTAGCTGTCCCTTATTATTTAATGCCTGGAATGTCCCTGTTTTTGAGTATCTTTATTTGCTGTCCTGATTTTAGAGCCAGATTTTGTTCATGGCCAAATGCAACATTCACACTTGTCTCACACGGGCAAGCCTGCTTTTTCCCACCCTAGACATTCCACAGATATATAAACCTCACTTGTCTAGTTTCCAACAGACCTTACAACCTCTGAGGATGCTTGCCATAGATGCGGGTGAAACATTAGGAGAGAACGCTTCTGGAACATGGCCATATAGCCCAAAAAACTCACAGCAACCCAACATGAGTTTAATTTGCTGAATAATCAATTCAGCAAATTAAATCAGAGGCAGAAAGATGAATTTATAGAGAAGATATAACAAAGGATGGCCATGTAAAATGTACCTAGCTTGTACAGTATGAAATGTGATCGTAAGATAAGTATTTTGAAATGAATGAGGTTATCAGTATTTAATTCAGCAAATTAAATATTGATAATTACAAAAAAAAAGTTGGTGGGTTGAAATACAAGGATCACTATGTTAGTGGATATGCATTCTCAAGTGTCATTCCTTACACTAAATTTTCCCACACAGAAATAATTTACACCATAATGTGAAGAAAAATGTTTTCCCTTTTCACAGCTGAGAGGGTCCTGAGCTGGTGGACTGGTCATGCTTGTGTGTACACATACATCCTAAGGCCCCTGATCCCAACATCCTTGAGCAGCTTTTAAAATAAGAATTATTTATAATTTTGGATGTGTAGGCAAATCAGTTCAGGAGCCCCCAGTGACATAGTGGGTTAAACCCTTGTGCTGGCAGGACTAAAGACCAATAGGTCAGAGGTTTGAATCCAGGGAGAGCGCAGATGAGCTCCCTCTGTCAGCTCCAGCTCCCCATGCGGGGACATGAGAGAAGCCTCCCACAAGGATGGTAAAACATCAAAACATCCAGGCATCCCCTAGGCAACATCCTTGCAGACGGCCAATTCTTTCACACCAGAAGCGACTTAAAGTTTCTCAAGTCACTCCTGACATTGAAAAAAAAGTTCAATTAAGATCTTTAAGCAAAACAATTATCTCTTCTTATTACACCAAACAGGAAAAAACAATAATTTAATATCATTACTTTAAAAAGTCTGTTTTTAATATTACCTTTATTACTCAAGTTGTGACTTTAACTCAGCTACACTCAGAATAGTGCCTGGATTGCCTAACTCTAGACAAACTATGGATTGCTCAAATCATAATAGTAACTGTGCTAATCTTCACTCTTCATATCTCTTGTACGCAAACAACAGCTGCCTTTTGCTACACAATGAACATAACCAGTTTTTGTTGACACAAAAATATGCTTTGCTCATATGTAAAAAAGTGTTATTCCTTTTCATTATTCTCCTGCATCTAAATCTTTCATGCTTGATCAGAGTTCATTTTGTCACATAATAAATAAATGCACATTTTAGAAACTAAAGGGCAATACATTCCCCCATATGCTATCCTCTTACAAAAATGTAAATATGTTTTTTTATTTTTCTGCTTAATTCAAAACCTCACTTATATTAAGAAAAGCAAAATAACTTACCAAATGTTTAGGCTGTTTTCAAATTTGCAACAAATCAATGTTAGCGTTCTTTCTTCTTAAGAGTAAACAGCAGGCTAAAAAGAAGCTCCTGAACAAATGCCAGGTTAAGTTATATGAACAGTTAGCCAAGCAAGAAATTGCATTGAGAGATAGCTTTAGTCTAGATCACTGACAGAATGCACCGAGTGACATTTCATCATCTTATCACCAATCACAAAAGAGAAAGATGAGTGCATTTGCATTAATTGAATGGTATAATGCAGTTCAAATTATCTTGCATAAAACTAGAGATACATATGCTTGATAAGAAAAGCAACAAACAAACATTTGTATATATAAAAGTGAAAATATGTTTGTATGTGTCTATGTATATACATATTTTTAAATCCAGAAAGCACTGCAAGTTCAACTGATGATAGATCTCAACCAAACTTGGCACACTGACGCCCCCCCCCCCACAAACCAACAGAAAATACTGGTGGGGTTAGGGGAGGAAGCGATTGATCCTTGATGTTGGGAGTTGTAGTTCACCCACAACCAGGGAGCACTGTGAACCCCACTGATGATGGATCTGGATCAAACTTGGCACATATACCCAACATGACCAGTGTTGAATGCTGGCAGGGAATTGCTGAGGGGAATTGACCCATGATGTTGGGAGTTGTAGTTCAGCCACATCCTTATGAATTTTCTAATATACTTTTTTCATGTCAGGAGTGACTTGAGAAACTGCAAGTCTCTTCGGATGTGAGAGAACTGGCCATCTGCAAGGACATTGCCCAGGGGACGCCCGGATGTTTTACCACCCTGTGAGAGGCTTCTCTCATGTCCCTGCATGAGAAGATGGAGCTGACAGACGGGAGCTCACCCCACTCCCCGCATTCAGCAGTCCTGCCAGCACAAAGGTTTAACCCATTGTGTCACCGGGGGCATATGCATTCTCTAATAAAAGTATTCATAACTGATGGGAATCAGAGCTGTTAGGCTCAAAATAACCCTCACTTGGGGTGATTCTACAAAAAATATAGCAGTGTCAGAAGCACAGTTCAGAACCAGCAGAAACGTATGTGTGGTGACACAGGATTAGCTTTCATTCAACAGGATGGCACAGGAGTGCAGAGATACAAATTTAGGTTCCAAAAATGGCTAGGGGAGCTTTTGCACAGTTAAAGCTAGTGCGCCAGCTGCGCCTGTACCTTGGGAAGTCTTATTTGGCTAGGGTGGTCGATGTCATTGTTACATCCTGAATCCTTCCCATTCTCAGTATCCCTGAAGGTCCTGGTAGCTGCTGCTGGCCTCTGTATTTGTGTGTCAAACGGTACCGGAACCCTTCTGCGTGTTTGGCTTAATGTTTTATGTTTTTATGATTATATAAAATACTTTTGGAGCCACGGAGCCACTGCAAAGACCCTGGCGTCCTTTCACCGGCAATACATGACCTGGGATTT